AAAAAAAAAAAAAAAAAAAAGTGTTTCGACTGTTGAATAATATTATTGTGTTCGACTACGTTTTACTGTCAAAACCCAGTCGGATTCTCGATTTTCGACTGCGGTCAGTATTGTTATTACATCGAAACGACATTATCTTCTCGTCTGTTTTTTGATTACTATTGTCGCGAATACTTTAATTTAACTAATAAGACGGTTAAGAATGGTGGCGGACCGTGATTTGGTTATCATATGCTAATGCGTTTTGACAATAACAATTCACAAACGCAAATTAACCAACAAACATGTTTAGTCGCGTCCGATTGTAGGTATTATTAAGTTCCAGCAGAGCAACTTGATTCCACGGTAAATATTCTGGTTTGGACCAAATTTTCTTTTTTTAAGCCCGAGATGAACCCACATAAAGTTACCCCCACGATTATTTTTGTTCCACTGCAACCGATTTGCCTTTGTCTATACTTTTTCCATACTCGGAAAAAACAAAAGGATAGATACTGAAGAAAATTAAAAAAAAAATAAAATGTACCTACGGGATTAGAGGATTACACTAATAATATAATATAGGACACATTTGAAATGTTTTGCATTAAGTAGTAATTTCTTAAGTATTAACTAGGTATAGTAATTCCGTAAGTCCGTGACAATCATATATCTATGAACCATAAACAATCGTTATCAGCCGAATGAATTATTATCTCATATGGAATAATATCACATGTTAAGTGATAACATTTCGATAAACGGAAATTCGATCGAATATCACGTTTTCGATATACGTCGAATTTCGAATCGTCAAATTGTATGTGGACGTATAAAATTCAATTTTGACTGTCTGCTATACATAAATGTACAATTTTGTTCCGTTGTTGATGAAACTTTGGGCGTTGGATTTTCGAAACAAAAAAAAAGGTAGCTGTCTACATTTATCTCAAAATTCAACACTTAAAGAGCGATTTGCAATAGATTTTTGATATTTTACTGTTTAGATACGATCAACTTATTATTATTATTTTTTTTTTTATAGATTTCTAGGCTATATCGGTGACATGAAGGAAATAAAAAAACAATAAGTTACTGAACAACAACGATCAACCGTAATTGGGATAAGAGTGAAAACGGGGAGACATATTAGACTATTATAATAACATACGCGTATATATAAAAACTTAGCGAAGTTCGATCGGCTGGTAAGGTTATAGTCGTGGTGTTTTGTGTTTGCATTGTAGCTAACTTAACCCGGAAATAATTTCAAATAACTCCTGTACGTATCATTATTCATTGTTTGTTCATTCGAATTATTAGAAAACTGTTGTGAGTTTCAAAAAAATGTTGCACGTAATGTACTGTCGGGCGGGAAATCCGCAACTTGTAATGTTTTTATTTCTGAATAATATACTATAAATGACAATAAATTCTTTTTTTTTTTAATTCTCCAAATATTTTTTTGACAGCGTTATTGCTACTTAAGCTCAAATTTTAAATGGTCAACGGTTAAATCTCCCGATAAACCGTCGGTTTTACAATATCGGAAAGTTCTTAGAGAATTTTGAATATTCCAGATAAAATAATATTATGTGTATAATATTATTACACGTATTATTATAACTAAAACTAGTATAATAAATATTAAGTGATTGTGGAAAAATGTCCAGCGGGCGATGATAATAAATGAGAAAAAAATCGAAAAGTATAATAATTATAGTGCTAGGATAATAATATACTAATCAAATAAAAAAAATGTTTACCGTACACAAATCTGTTTTATAGCCCGTTATTAAGAGCTAGGACGCCACACCCGCATGATGTGCTGTCTTCGTTTTACGAACGCATGATATAGAACATTTGCGTTCAACAGAGGTGCTAACTCAGTATTGGTGGTAATTTTAATGTAAGAATAAATTGACTTATTATAAGAAATTTAAAAAATGTATAATGAACACCCATATGAGATTCAATTTTCATTTGTTTGACAAGAATTGTAGTATATAAATTATTCTAAAAAAATGTTCTAAAAAAAAAAAAAAATATTAATTTTATTTACGATAATATTACAAATAAACCTGCGCTTCATAAATTCACCCAGAAATATACGTAGCAGAAATATAATTATATCCAATGGAGCGAGCCATATTTAATATAAATCTTAACATACTATAATATGTTATAGTATATACACTGAAAAACGCAAGTGAGCAGTAGAGTCGAATCTCCCCAAACCAATTTTGTATTACTAAAATATATTCTTTGCGAAACATCACTACTACACTAAAACTAAACCACTTCCGAAAAAAAAAAAAAACACTAAAAAAATTAATTTGAGCATAAATATAGTGGGAACGATTACTGAACGTTGAAACTCTCAAAAGACACTTTCTTAATATTAACGTCATACGTATTACAAAGTTTCACTCCCCTCCGAGCGCTCA